CCCAGAGTTCAGGCCCCACGACTGGACCCCCCCCCCAAAAAAAAAAGAAGAGACACAACTATATTCAAACTCTATTCAAATAGTAAAAATCAGCTAACTCTGGTTTTCATTTGATATTCTAACCTATTACCACAATTTACCATGAACCAGAAACTATCAAAATTCTAGACTAGAGGCTGGGAAGGTGGCTCAGTGGTAGAGCACTTGCTTTGTATGCATGAGGCTCTGGGTTCGATTCCTCAGCACCACATAAGCAAAAAGCCGGAAGTAGTGCTGTGGCTCAAGTGGTAGAGCGCTAGCCTTGAGCTGAAGAGCTGAGGGACAGCGCCCAGACCTCCCCCCCCAAGAAAAAAAAATCTAGGCTAGTATTTGGGGCGTTATACTTGGGTTTGAACTCGGGGGCCTCTTGGCCAGCTAGGCAGGCAGTGTAACACTTGAGTTATACCTTCAGTCCTTTATTTGCTTTGCTTTGCTTTTCCATAGGGCCTTGTGTTTTGCCTGCCCTGGGACTTCAGTCTTCCTATATACATTCCCCAAATATCTAGAATGGCAAGTATGCACCATCATACCTTGCCTATTCGAGGAGATGATATAGCTAACTTTTCCCCAAGCCAACCTGCATCCATGATATTCATCTCCCAAGTAGCTATGATTATAGGTGTGAGCTACCTTGCCTGGCCCAAAACTACTTTAAAGAATGATTTCATTGGGCTAGGAAGGTGGCTCAGTGGTAGAGCACTTGCCTTGCATGCATGAGGCCCTGGGTTCGATTCCTCAGCACCACATAAGCAGGGGGGAAAAAAGCTCAAGTGGTAGAGCGCTAGCCTTGAGCTGAAGAGCTGAGGGACAGCACCCAGGCCCAGAGTTCAGGCCCCATGACCAGACCCCCCCTCCCCCAAAAAATGATTTCATTGTCAGGACTTTGTAGTTGCTACTTCATTTTTGTCATTTTGCTCATTTTCACCTGGTGGAAAATGTCAAATACACTATTTATGTGGCTGTATCTATTGGACAGATGCAGACCATTTTGATAATGTGTTTTCTTGGATCAAACTATTCTAAAGGAAGTCAGATAGATCATTTTGGTTAATTACATTAATAAAATTAGAGATCTTCCCCTATACCAGTCCATCTCAGAGGTCACAAGTGAACCTGTGAGTTGGACCACTGTTAGGCCAGAAGAAAAATCACTCTCCCTTCCTTTTTTTGTGTGTGTCAGTCTGGGCCTTGAACTCAAGGCCTAGGCACTGTCCTTGAGCTCTTCCATTCAAAGCTATTGCTCTATCACTTTGAACCATAGCTCAAATTATTTGGAGATGAGTGTCTTATGGACTTCCTGCACGAGCTAGCATTGAACTGTGATCCTCTGATCTCAGCCTCTTGAGTAGCTAAGCATGAGCCATAGGCACCCAGCTCTATCACTGCTTTCTCTTTGGCAGACAAAAGCCTAGTGCAGATCATGAAACTGGGAGGAAATAGTGTAGCCGCCTGGCTAATAAGAAAAATGAATTTTCTATACAATCCCTTTTGTAGTGACAGTACCTAGTGATTTCAGGTTTTCATTTTTGCTTGAGCTCATATAGTTAAACACATAACGTATATAAGTAGGATGTGTGTCCCAAGCGGCAGAACAACTGCCTAGCAAACACAAGGCCCTGAGTTCACCCCAGGACTTCAAAGAAGGGAAGGCAGGAGGAGGAAGAACAGAGGGATAAAGGTAATATAGTTGTGCTGTTAGGTATCAGATCAAAGGGGAGAATAAACCTGGACGTCAGTAGTGTGAGTCAAGGAGCTCCTCCAGTGACGCGGTCCCTTGCTTCCTAATAGATAATGAAGACTTTAATAGTTGCCGTTCTACTGGCTGGAGTTGTCCCACTCCTTTTGGGGCTCCTGTTTGAGCTGGTTATTGTTGCTCCCCTGCGTGTACCTTTGGATCAGACTCCTCTTTTTTATCCATGGCAGGTAAGTGCATCTCTTTGCCTTATGAGATAGATAGATGTTGTTTTTGGTTTTGTGTTTTAGGTATTTGGGATCAGAAAAATAGTCTTAATTATGTCGAATGATTTTTATGGTTGAGGAATCTTGAAAAATTCCCTTTAGTCTTTGTGTGTGCTTGCATACGTGCATGAGTGAGAGAGAGAGTGTGTGTGTGTGCGTGCGTGCGTGTGTGTGTGTGTGTGTGTGTGTTTGTGTGTGTCCCAGTTCTGGGGCTTGAACTTAGGGTCTGGATGCTGTCTCTGCGTTCTTTTGCTTAATTCTAGTGTTCTACTACTTGAGCCTTGGCTTCATGTGAAGTCTGTGGTTCACTGGAAATAGGAGTCTAATGGACTTTCCTACTCTGCCTGGCTTTGAACAGCAGTCCTCAGATCTCAGTCTCCTGAGCAGCTAGGATTATAGGCATATGCCACAATTATAGGTACCCAGCTAATATTTGACTTTTAAAAGTTACAGGTCACTGAGTATAGTGGCCTTAGACCTATAAGTTAGTTAGCTATGTAGGAGGTAGATCAGGAGGACCATGGTTTGGGATCAGTGTAGACAAAATGTTTATGAGATGCTCATTTCACCCAGTAAAAAGTTGACATAGTGGTACATGCCTGTCATCCTACCTACATGGGGGAAGTGTTAATAGGAGGCTCACTATCCAGGCAAGACCTTGAATAAATGGAGAAACACTATGTGAAAAATAAACCATAAAGGACTCGGGCGTGACTTAGTAGGAGTTTATCTGCCCAGCAAGCTCAAGACTGAGTTCAAATCCTAATACCACAAAAACAAGGAAAAAAAGGTAAAGATCATATAACACCTTTTTGTTCATATTAAAGGTTAAAATAACCTTCTCCTGTTGATATAACAGGCTGCTGCTTCAATATCAGTCTGTCTCTTTTCTACAGAAAGTCTATTGGTGGGCTGGGACGGTGGCTCAGTGGTAGAGTGCTTGCCTTGCATGCATGAGGCCCTGGGTTTGATTCCTCAGCACCACATAAGCAGAAAAATAAAAAGCCGGAAGTGGCACTGTGGCTTAAGTGGAGAGCTAGCCTTGAGGTGAAGAACTGAGGAACAGCGCCCAGGCCCAGAGTTCAGGCCCACTACCTGACCCCAAAAAACAAACAGAAAGTCTATTAGGATAGCTAGTCCTAGATTACTCTGACTTTAAAGTGTGTGATACAGAACAAAATCCTGCATCCATAAATCCCTCCTTAAATTCCTAACAA